GATCTGTGGGTAGGATCTACACGGTGAATATAGAAGTTTCTTCAGCGAACAATCTTCTGTCCACTTCCCTTGGTGCACTTGCGGCTTGTTTGGCAGCTTGCTCAGCTGAGTAGTTGCCACATGCTTCTTCTGAATTCAGTCTTCCATGGGCCTTCACCTTCAGTATGGCCACTTCTTCAGGAGGAGTAGGGCATCCACCAGCTTCGTAAAAGCCGTGCTATGCTCAACTAGCGTACCAGTTGATGTGAGAAATCTTCTTGTCTTCCAGATTTATCCAAAATCATGTGCCACACCCAGGGCATATCTTGAGTCAGTGTAAACATTAGCACGCTTTCTTTCAGACATTTTGTGTGCCACTGTGAGGGCTGTCAATTCAGCTTCTTGAGCAGATGTGGATGAGGAAAATGAAGATGCTCGACGTACCTGATCTTCTGTAGCAACAGCAAATCAAGTATGGTACCTGTAATGGCACCCCCAGGCATAAAAGGGTTAAACCGCCGGTTAGAAGAGTTTGGAGTGCTATTTTGTTTGCAGTTCGGGAGGTACAGCTACTGCAGAACACCAAACTCCCGAACCGCATGTAAGGGAATGCTTCAAACTCCCAAACTGCAAACAAAATAGCACTCCAAACTCCCAAACTGGAACCTCACGAATAGCTGCTAGCAGACGAACAGGAAAAGCACCCAAGCGGCTTACACTCCTGGCAATCAGTCTCTAACAGCATACAGTAAATCCCCCCAAGAACGAGACAAGGCTCCGTTTAGAGGGTCAAGCAGGAACAGCCAGAGCTGTGGGTTTATTGTTCTTATATACAGATTAGTACCACCCACAGGGTTGTGGAACACAACCAATAAACACATACAATACACTCAGACACTCCCACACAAAATCATCCCCTCTGCCTGTGATACAATTACCTTACACAATGGGTAATGTAATTATCATAAGCAGAGAAATACAATTGTTCCACAATATTCATAACTTGAAAAGTATGCATCACGTTCACATAAAATTGCATACATTTTCAGAATCAGCATACTCCAAATACAAACATATGTCAAAATCATCCAAATTGGTCCAGTGGTTCAAAAGATAGATCATAGTCCTTTGTGACCAAAGGAAGCATGGCTTTTCTGCCCAAAACCAGTTCCACAGAGTCTTCTATCCTGGAGATAATTGGGAAGTAATCCAATTATCTCAAAGGACAGAGGCAAAACTCCATTGAACACATGGCAGCAAAAGACAATAAAACACATAAACATATAACTGTGCAGCCATTGCACAAAACAGATACATTCAACATATCCCCGGGGAGCTCAGATCTGAGCGCACATTATTACTGAATGGCGCTCAGAGCACACACATACAGTTCAATTGCCATGGAGCCAAAGTCTTTCCCATAGTCTTTCATTATATGAATGGGCTCCATGGCATAGCTATCTGGGGTATCACCGCTCAAACAGGGCCAGCACCGAATGACCCGGCTTTCGTGTCTTCGCAGGGGAAAATCAAGCGTTTCAACATGGGGCCATAGTCTAAAGGCAGCAGGCGGGCAACCAGGCTCCTCCAATGCACAGTGGCGAGATTGGTCTCGTCACAGTACCTTCCATTTTCGTCTGCAAATCCAGAGCCATCCACAAACAAGGTGGAGTCTGGGTCTGGCAAAGCAACTTCATGCGTTGCTGGGAGATATATTGTCTCCATTTTCGTCTGTTCAAAGCAACCATGAGGAGCAGTAGGAGGGGTATCCTTACTTATTTCTGTGTGATATTGAGGGTAGCTAACTGTCTTTCAATTCATAGTACTCTTTGTGACCCTCCTTTGTAGAGAGCTGATCTTGATTTTTAGTGTTCCAATGTTTTTGCTAATGGGCCAAGTTCTTTCTGTGAGATTGTTTTTCATGACTTAGTGATGGAAACATGAGGAACAGCCACTTCCCAGTGATGATACATGTGTCTTACTTCCATTAGTAACTGGACCAGGGCCACACTGTTTCCTTTAGAGTCCCAAGACAAAACCGGTCTGTCATGATGAGGCGTACCTCCACCAGTCTGAATAGTTATTTTTCGTAGTGTGGATCTGGTCCCCCCCATCCCCCCTGGGAAGTGGCAGAAGAGTGACCAGTTTCAGAGAGTAACAACTTTGCAAAGTGACATTGTCAGGGAGAAGCAAAGCAGCTTGAAGGCGGAGATGTCTTTGAGAAGAGATATGCCCTGGTTTATTTAATTGAGGATAGTAGAGATGTCATGAGGTGCAAGTATGGTGAGCTTGTGTGCAAGGACTAAATCTTATTCAGGAATTTGCATGCTGCAAAGATTGCTCGCAGGCAGCAGGGGCCTCCTTGTGCCACAGGGATCAGTTGGCAGGAACCAGGAGATCGTGTGAGTACTCCAGAGGCATGACTCAGTCTCTCAGAGAAAAACAGTTTAAAGGGTTTCTGGTAAGTGGAGAGGCCCAGGACAGGGGCCGAGGAGGTAGCACGTTGCAAAGCAGAGGCTGGAGTAGGCTTCAGGGGACAGAGAAAAAAATTCAGTCTTTGAATAAAGGTACAGTCGTTAGGGCATTATACAGGTACAGTTCTCAGGTATCCAGGCCCTTCAGTAGGAAATGAGGAACAAAAAAGGCATGGAGGGGCTTGTACAAATAACTGTGAATCCCCTCACTCGGCTCTGAGTGAGGTGACAGGTGCCATAGGAAAAACAAGGGCCAGCACCATTGTAGCATCCTTTTGGAGGCTTTGCATCCTTATTCAGCAAAGTAGTAGAGTGAGACAGGAACATGTGGGGGTTAAGCACAATGAGAGTTTCCAGGACAGTAGCATTATTAACAGTCTTGTATTTTTATGGCTCACCCTTCGCAGAATTCTTCCTCACAGAGAACAGTAGGGTATTGCAGGAAGAGTCACAGGGGACCAAGGGACCAATTGACACCAGAACTTTAACCTGTTGAGAAATAGCAAGTGCTTGGGCAGGCTTCAGAAGATATTGTGGCTTCTGTTGTGTCTTAAGGGGCAGACTAGCCCTTGGGAGCAACTTTACCAGAACTAGGGAGAAACATGGAGGTGTCCAAACTCTTCAGGGCCTATAGAATTCTGTTAAAGGCATTGGGGGAATTATCTAGGACCCTTGCATCCTGGCCAGACATTTAAATCTGGCCATCAGGCGTAAAGGTGATATAGGCCTGCAAACAGTGGAAAGATAACTACACCTAGCAAATTGATTAGACAGGTAGAGGAAACCACAAAGCAGGGCTTAGTTAGCAGGCCACTAAGGAGTGTCATCTACACCTATGCAGGAGACGACAAGATTGAATAGAACTGAGGAGTCAGGTAGGATTCTCCTCCAACGAAAGGCCGCAGATAGCCTTTGGGTAAAGTCCTTGTAACATACTAAAACCCAAGTCAGGGAAAAGTTGGGACAACCTGGAGTGATACTTTCCTTTGCACCTGTTACAATAGGTGATCTAATTATACCTTTTCAAATTTATCATGTATAACACCTGGAAGGATTAATCCATAATACTATTTTACCTTCCATTTACTGACCTTAGCTCTGGCAGTCTGAACATGTTCATCATTATAAATAAAGGTTTGTGGCAAGTGAAGTAACGTTCCTGCCTGTCTTTCAGTAAATCATTAACTGTTGAAGTACTTTCACTTATATTAATTAGACTATAATAAGTATACCACCCAGTAACTTAAACGAATAACCAGCAGTGTCTGAGTTAATAAAATATTTTACAAGTTCTTCTAACGTGAAAACATTATTCAACAATAAGGATGTTACTGTAAACATACCATCTCTAACCAGCTAGATGCAAGTATGCAAAGTTACATTGTTAAAGACAGATATTGTTTGTAAGCCAGATCCCAGCTGCATATGGCATCCCAACAATAATACTTAACTATATTTCAGATATTTACAAAGTCTAAACACCTTTTTAAATAGCACCTTATGTGTTGTTTTTTTATTTTTTTATTTTTTTTTGTGTTATAGTAGCTGTACCACCAAAAATAACATGATTGCTTTAGTCATTATAATTTCTCTGTCTATGCAATTGTCTGTCTATAATATGTAGAGTTTAAGGAAAGCTGCAAGCCTCCGAATAGGACGTGCATAACAGGGGTAGGCCTCATGATGGAGGCAGCCATGACAGGGGTCTGGGAAGGAAGTGATGGCAGGAGAGGAGGAAGAAGTGACAGCCATGACATGTGTGGGAAAAGAAGAGACAGGAGGTGAGGGCATAATAAGGGTGGAAGTGACATTACGTTAGGAGTAGACGTGACTGTAGATAATTGGGTGGAGGTCACGGGGGCTGGCTGGGCCAACCTCCTTCCCTCTGTGCCTGGCTTTTTTTTTTTTTTTTTAGGTTTGTGGCTGCAGGTACTTTCAACATTACACTATATTATAACTGAGAAAATAAGTCAAATAAGTAACATCCTTTGCAAAATAAAATGAAATACTAAACTGTAAATAAATTAGACTAAAATGCAACCTAAGTTCTGTAACACAACACTAACAGTGTCTAACTACATTTAAGCATACAGATTGGAAAATAAACCTGGCAAGTTAAATAAGACAGTTGAAGACATTACGCATTTAACAGCCCATAAAGATACTCATACTCGAACACAGCAACCGTGCTTCAGAACGTTATTAGTCAGTACAGAGTAATACATTCTATCCTTCACTGCTTTATCACAAAACACAATATATATTATCCAAACTCTAGTAGCCTCTTTACAACACATTACTCCGTAATTTCTTATCAGCCTCTATCTCTAAAAATATACACAATATTACACAGAAGTTCTTAACTAGGATATTGTCCAGCAATAATCCCATCTTTAACTTTTATCAGCAGTTTTGAGAAATAAATATTAATGTTACATGGCTGAGCGACCACTCCCACATTCCTTGCTGCTGCAAGCAACAAGCACACAAGAATAGGAGAAAAAGGATGAGGAGAGAGGATGGGGGGGCGGGGAGACAGACAGTGCAGAGCTACGTAGAGGGAAAAAGAGAGCCGCAGAGATAGAAGTTAACCCTGTGAATGCCCCAAAGTACTTTAAAGTGACAAAACAAAAAGACATTACATATATTGCAGACAAGAGACATATGAACAGGTGAAGACACAGTATACAGATGTAATTAAATCACAAATTCCTTAAAAATACACCGCACACAATATAACTCCAATTAAGCAATCATCACAATACAATAATGAATAAGGTCCCTGTTTATCACCAAACAGTATAGCAAGTAACAAATGCATTTCCCAGCCTCTCTCAGGCGGACAGCTGCATACCCTACTCTTCACTAAGTAGTAAGCGAATATTCAAAGCAAATCCCAGCCTCTCTCAGGCGGACAGCGAATAACAATAAAACCAGCGGTCCCTACCAGCAAGGTAGTATAGCAAATACCAATGAAACAGAGATGCCTACTCGCAAGGTAGTCTAGCAAACACAATAAAACTGCGGTCCCTACCCACTAGGTAGTCTAGCAAACACAATAAAACTGCGGTCCCTATCCGCTAGGTAGTCTAGCAAACACAATAAAACTGCGGTCCCTACCCGCTAGGTAGTCTAGCAAACACAATAAAACTGCGGTCCCTACCCGCTAGGTGGTCTAGCAAACACAATATACAATAAAACTGCGCAATCAGGAGGCAAATATTTAGTTGACAGGTTCATTAAAAGGGACTCCAGGCAAGCTATTTACCTGTCTTTGACGCCTCTGTCAGCCGGAGCAGACACGGAAATAGGGCAATCTCAAAGATAGGAGATATAGGCAAAGTGCTCAAGAGCGTTCATTTACCATATATTCAGGAGTTGATCAGGCTCCGTCCCGTCTCAAGATGCCCGGTCTCTGGTTTTGGTGATCCGTTTGCCAATGGTGTAGCGCCGGAGCCCCACGTTGGGCACCAAATTGTTGTAGACCAAACCAAGTGTTTGATTATTTTTAAATATTTGCCACTGTCCAGATTATGAAATGATGTGTGCATGCTTCCAGAAGTAATTTCACACCAGACACAAGTTTACAGGTTGATGAAATACTCAGGAATGTTTAATCAGGGGGTGGGGAGCCCCTTATAAAGCAGAAATTCATCATATGCATAATTATAGATAACAGAGAAGAATATAGCAATAATTGGTTAGGTGTTAAGTGATTTATTAATTGCACATCCTACTGGGTGTGCCGTTACTGTTATCATGAATTTCTCCCCCAGATTCCAGCGCCATTTTGTAACACAAGGTAGTCAGTTGATGGGTGGGGTACTCCCGAGTGACATCTAGTGGCCATTTTAGTAATTTATTGTATAATACTGATTATGGTTATGCAGAGTAAATAGGCATTTTATTTTAGCTAATATTCTGTCCACAACACCGTCAAGAACATCCCACGGCCGAGACAATCCCATACAATCCTCCGCTGTTCCAGGACCTCATCCTGGACTAAATTCTCTCATGGCTCATGGCAGAATGCTAGCACAGTCAGCACTCTCTGCAAACACCAGGCGATCGTATAACTGAGCCCTTACTATTTTCAACAGGTTCATCACAGAATACAAAATCAGTAACCCATGGTCGTTAAATACCATGGTGGCATTTACTTCTTTTTGTCACCTACAACTAAAACTGGCACATAATATGATAAAATTATACCTCACAGGTATACAATATCACCTCACAAACATATATCCTAGTCACAGAACTTTCATGTCCACTAATCCCATTAGAAACGTTTTAAAAGGTATCTTACGATTCGAAGAACAAAAACCCACTAAACGTCAACAGATAGACGCAAACAAGTTCCGGGCATTATTCGATTCATTGGATACACTGCCAAGTGAAAACGAAACAAGCAATACATTAAAAATGGCTATTACCTGTGGGGTATATCAGTATTTCGTTGGGAGGTCCCATTTGATTAGTTTTGGAGTGTTGTAATGTCAAAACTTAGTGGTCCCCTATTTTGTTGAGGTCTGCCATTGTCAGCATGTTGGTGGTATGAGTGGTTTGTATTGTGGTGAACTCGTTTGGTCTTAAGAACACCACAATACAAACCACTCATACCACCAACATGTTGACAATGGCAGACTTCAACAAAATAGGGGACCACTAAGTTTTGACACTAGGACACTCCAAAACAAATCAAACGGGACCTCCCAATGAAATACTGATATACCCCACAGGTAATAAATGGTGCCCAGTACAACTGTTTGACAGTCTATATCCACGCATAAAAATACAAGATAAAGAATGCCCCTCTACTAAATCTACACGGCAACCCACTGACAACATCCACATTTATGGTATACATACAGACTCTGTTTTCCAAAATAGGGTATGACCCATCAGCGTTCACCGGTCATTCTTTCTGAATAGGTGCGGCTACTAACACTTCTAGTCAGAGCGTCCCAGCACACATTATCAAAAAACTGGGACGTTGGAAATCGTCCACTTTCAACCAATACATTCCTCAACCAGAAAGAGAAATGAGGAAAGCATTTATAGATTTAACTAAGTAATATGTACGTGTCAAACTCAAATCTGAAATTTTACTGTTACGTATTAAAGTTTTTTGCCCATACTTTTTGCTCTCTTTATTTACAGGCCTGCCCATACATTCGGTTTCGGCACACTACAACCGAATTTGGCTAACAACACAATCTACGCTTACTCTGCTAATTTCCCTGACCACAAATGGGAAGGCGCAGCCTGGAGTTGTGGGAGGGGGTGATCCGGCCTATTTAAACTCAGACTTACCTCCATACCAGGCCGACGATGATTGGTCACCCCACCCACCACTCCACATATTCACATTTCTACAATACTACCTTGGTGGGCCCTCTTTATTTACAGGCCTGCCCGTACATTCGGCACACTACAACCGAATTTAGCTAACAACACAATCTACGGTTACTCAGCTAATTTCCCTAACCACAAATATATATATCTATGAGTAATAGAGATCTGCAACTCCCCTACCACCTCCTCCCCTCTCTCCCTATCTCGGATCTCCATCCACCTCCCTCCACCTGCCATTTAACAAAATGCAATGGTGGTCCCTCGAGAAGTCTGTACTGGCACTCTAATTCCATGTGCTCCACATCTTTATCTCTATGATCAAGTTAAATGTGTGATTTATGTGCGTGTACTGTAGTTTGAATTGTATAACCTATTTTTTCTCAAAAACAAAGAGATGGGATTGGGGGTATGGCTCCCAGAGATTTCTCATTTGTTTTTTACCTGACAGTACGTAGAATTGGTACTCCCCACCCCCCATTGCCCACTACATGAGGTAGCCCTAGCAACCACTGCACCTCCACAATTCTCCTCCAAGCAGGTGTTCCCAAGCAAAAATGTAACTGTCCCATTTTTCAGAATAGTTTCAGTTACTCCTTTATTAGCCCACCAACCTTCTCACTCTGTTCACATGTCATGGCTGTGTGGCGCAGTCTATGTCCTTCTATCCTTTGACAAGCACCCTCATGCGACTGTGTCACACAGTGCTCTTATTTCCTCCCTATTTCAGGTCTGGAGGACCAACCTGCAGTGTTTAATAGATTCCTATTGGTGACCCCCAGTCACCAAGGGATTCCCACAGACAACGTTTTTTCTAAATATTTGTAATCTTAACCTATGGGTGACTTGAACATTTGTATCTCTTATAGGACATCCTGTACGTAGTTCACTGTTATTTCTGAATTGCTGTTGATTTAATTTTGATTTACATAGTTACATAGCTGAAAAGAGACTTGCGTCCATCAAGTTCAGCCTTCCTCACATTTGTTTTTTGCTGTTGATCCAAAAGAAGGCAAAAAAAACAGTTAGAAGCACAATTTTGCAACAAGTTAGGAAAACAATTCCTTCTTGACCCCAGAATGGCAGTCAGATTTATCCTTGGATCAAGCAGTTATTACCCTACATTGAAAGATTATATCCTTGAATATTCAGTTTTTGCAAGAATGCATCTAGTAGCTGTTTGAACATCTGTATGGACTCTGATAAAACCACTTCTTCAGGCAGAGAATTCCACATCCTTATTGTTCTTACAGTAAAAAACCTTTCCTTTGCCTTAGATGAAATCTTCTTTCTTTCATTCTAAACACATGACCTCGTGTCCTATGTAAAGTCCGGTTTGTGAATAGATTTCCACACAATGGTTTGTTTTGGCCCCGAATATCTTTGTATAACGTC